ATTGGGGTGGTTGAAGTGGGTGTGAAGCGCCACCGCCTTGCCAGCCCTCTTCGCCTTGTTGGACACGGCGACAAGGGCATCTACCCAAGCATCGTTGGGATCAAGAACCCGAGTTGGGCAGACGGCGAGTCCCTTTGAGGCAAACCGGAAGCGGCGTATGTTGGGCATCGAGATCAGCCTGTCGCCAATCAGTTCGATTTGGTGAGGCGCCAAGTAATACGAGTCGCCTCCAGAGACTACAATGTCCTGCAAATCCGGTGTATTCTCGATGTACTGGAACACCTTCTCCCATCTGGCAAGGATGGGCTTGAAAGACTGCTTGTCGACCGTTTCGGTGTTGGCGCCTACCGCGTAGGATCGCGTGCAGAACATGCAATATGCCGGACAGACGGACACGGCTTCGGGAAACGATGTTAGCCAATACATCAGAGGAGACCGTACTTGGCTTATGTCTATTATTCAAGCTTACGGAGAAATAGAGCCTTGTCTGGGTACCGATGAACCAGCCCGGAGACTGGAGAATCGGCTTCTTCGTGCAAAGAATCAAGCGTCAGTCGCGGATGATCGGGTAACATTGTCGACTGTGTCGGGATGAACTGGCGAAAGATGGGATCGTTACGAGGGTCAGTCCAGTCGATACGGCTGAGAACGTACGGGCTGCGGCAACCCGAATTAGCACCTTCACCTGATGTCGACTAGTATTCAACCCACGTAAGCCGAACAGACATGGTTGCCTTCTTGATTCCTGCTAGGACGTCGTTGACAAGCTCGTTGCGAGGCTCCATCTCACTGCTGGAACCACGGACAGGGATGTACTCGGGCAGAGTCGCATCAAGGAAGCCTCGCAACTTCGGAAGTCTTTCGACCATGTTTCTATTCTGCACACGGGGGTGGTGTCAGAATGCAACAGCAAACTCAATTGATGATGGAACAGCCTGTCAACTTACGCTCCAACGATAGCTCAGGAAGTCGTCTGTGGATACGTCTTGCCACCATGGGATCTTGCGCCAGAACTCGTCCCGTCTGCCTCGATCTGATGTTGATACGGCTGCAACATGATTGTGGTACGTTGGTTCTTCGACCACCGTTTCAGCAGCAACGGCTTGAGCTGCCTGCAAGCATGATGGAGTGGCAATCCAACGAATTCCTTGGCCATGCTGTGTTGCTCGGATAAAACGAGCCGCAGCTCGAACCGGCATAATGGGCGATAACATTATCATCTCAAAGATCTCCTAGCCTCTGGGTTTCTTTGAGCAGCTAACGCTATAGACAATGGTCGCCGTTTCGTGGGAGTCGTGGAAACCTTCGGCCGCGTCTGACAGAAAGCCGTGACAGGACGGTGGAAATGACCTAGGCGTGGCTAATATGCGGGTAATCACCGCCAACGTTTCGTCGTGTGACTATTGTCAGCACGGAAGGTTGTTGAACGGCGCGTTGGTGGAAGATCGATGCAACGAGTCGGAACTGACAGGAGAAAATGGTGTTGTAATCATCAGATAAGGAATCTCTGAGAGAGATATCCCGATGCAGGGCGGGATGGAAGAGGCGAAGGGTAGTGGAGGTGTTGCCATATTTCACTCCTGCAAGACTGGCTTGACATATGGCAAGCTTGGAAAGGACGGAGGACGTTTCGATCTACTTCCATCCATAACCGTTGGTGAGCAACCAACAGTGTGGCAGGTGACGGAAGGCAAACACCAAGATCGGCCTATAGCAAACAGGTTACACGGAGAACTTTCCTTCAACGGAGCGAGTACTTAGCAGCTCAACGTGGAAGTACAACCATGCCCCTCTTCTCTCAACGAACTTCCTGTTTAGACATCTGAAGGCGGCACGGAAGGTAGGTACTGTACCCAGGAGTAAGTGGACTGTTTGCTATGACTTCTCGGAAAGCGCAACACAACCTCGTTCCGTGTAACCTTCCCCTGCTTCGCAATACTTCGGGATACATTTTACTAACGACTTTTATTCCGATGACTAGGCAGTTGCTACGCAGGGTGGCAATCGAGCTGTGCGTTCTGTCACAGTAGCTCGAGGCACGACGGCGGCAACCCCTTACTACACTTCCCCGCGGCGCTTGAGGCCAAAGGTACCACCACAACCTTGCACTGTTGCCACGTCTCGTGCAAGTAATATGCCGATGAAATCACGCTCATACAAGCATTCATCTGAGCAATGTCCAAACCGAGCTGCATTTGCATATATCCTAGCTTAGCCCACTCTCCCTCATCGTCAAACGCTGACTTCCTATTAGCTACCGGGTGTCTGGTCACGCATACACGTTCTTTGTTTAGCATTTCAACTCCGAGAAAAATCCCTCGAGAGCCAGCGGTCGGGACCCTAGAAACTCTCCACAAACCCAAGACAATGCAAGGCCGGCCGAGCTGCTGTTGTTGCACACCGACTTCCGGATATCATGCGCTCGAAACCAATGTCCTGGTCAAGTACACCAGGCTATTATATTGGCCTTTGTCTAACAGACTGGGCCCAGTTGCGCTGCGCGGGAGAAACCTACAGCCTCTACCAACGAGTCAAGGCTAAGTCTCCCGTGATACTTCTGAACTACAACAAAGGTTCAGTTTGACCGGGTGTGGGCCCTTGCCTGGACTGTCCGCTGATCTGGCCTTGGAGTTGCCGGACTTAGGACCAACAGTAAATTTGTAGTCCTACCTTTGGTCTGAGTGAAATCAAGGGGAAAAGTCCGGGAACTGTCCATAGCCATGTTGGTTTACAGCTTACAAAGAAAGAAATGGCTAAGGCTGAGTGTAGTGTTAAAGAAGCCCGCCGTCCTTGCTCCGATCTTGGTGAAGCTTGTGCCAGACTGGTGTGTCTACTGTTGTCGTCTCTTTCTGAAGAAACCCAAAAAGAGAATCGCCAGCTTTTATCAAGTACCTACCACAGCCGTAAACATGTCTAGACAAAGTCAGCTCGATCAGCGTACAGCATCAGTGTCTCAGGTTGCGGCCAGTCCAAACATGGATGTCGAGGAAACCACTCGCTCTAGGGCGTGTGGCATGCCGTCACTCCACCATAAAACAGGCATAGGGCATGTTCATGGACCCCTCAGCTCTCTTCCTTGCTTCTTCTAGCGGACCTGACTGACCTGACTGACGTTCATTTGTGCAGACTGCCACCGCTACGACCCGTTACTCGAACCAGCCCCGCTGGCATAATCCGCCGCCCGACGTTGCCCCAGACTCAGCAGCCTTCGAGGGTACATCATGCCTCTAACGATCAGGTCAAGGTGCTCTCAAGAGAGCCTGTAGACCGTGGATGGAGGGCTTGGTCTGTTCTTGTAGGATCAACGGCGTTCATGATCCCGACGTTTGGCTTAATGACGACCGTGGGCATCTTTCAGGTGTATTGGAAGGATAACCAGCTGGCTCCGTGGTCTAACACGGACATATCTTGGATTATATCCATCTTTGGGTTTCTATCTGTTCTGCTTTGCGGCCCCTTTGGCATCCTGTTCGACACGTTCGGGCCCCGATGGCTCGTGACCCCCGCAACAATTGTGTACAGCGCGGCCTTCCTAGGAGTCGCCTTCAGCAGCCAGTACTGGCAATTCATGGTATGCTTCTGCGCTGCCGGTATAGGTGCCGGTAGGTTCTTTGTCCATCTCGGGTAAAGCGTAACTGTCAAGAAGTATCCTAACGTTACGGACGTAGCGGCTTTGACCACCACTGCGCTAGCCGTTATTAATCATTGGTTCGACGACAAGAAGGGACTGGCCATGGGCATTTGCACCATGGGTGGAGGACTGGGTGGCGTGATCTTCTCAGTGATGCTTCGGTTCACCACTGAGAACTTCGAGTGGACGACGGCAAGCCTCATCCAATTTGCCATAATTTGCGCCTTTTTATCCCTCGGGTGCGCCTTGACGAGGCCCAGAGTACTCAAGGCTCGCAAGGGAAAGATGTGGGACTTTGCGTGCTTCAGGCGTTGGAAGTTTGTCCTCTTCACCTTCAGCGTATGCGGTATGGCAGCTGTACCACACCAACTTCATCAAGTATCAGTAGCCCTAATGCAATGTGATGACAGGCTTCGAATTGGTGCTGTTCGTAGCGTGGGGTCTGCTGCCCACGTATGCCAGAATAGTCAAGCTCGGCGATGTTTTCTACTTGACCCTTGTCTTCAGTGTGTAAGTTCACCCCCTTGATCGCCGTGGGATCTCAGGGCCGGCGCTTGTTCTTCAGCTTATGCTTTCTCAGGGGGTCATCCTTCGGCAGGATCATTCCTGGATATTTCACCGATAAAATAGGCCCTTTCAATGTGACCATATTCATGACTATATTCACAGAGGCGATCATGCTTGTGTTGTGGCTAGCGTTCGGAGACACGTCCGCGCCTACGCTCTATGCCGTCGCCTTTTGTCTTGGATTCGGTACCGGCAGCTTTGTTTCGACGGCTGCTACATGTCTCGGACGACTCTGCGACCCGCAAGACAGTGGCACATACATCGGCTGCTGCTATGCTATTGTCAGTCTGGCAACCTTGGTCGGCAACCCAGCCAGTCAAGCTGTCCTAGGGGACGGTAAGGGCAGCCGTCCTCGCTTGATGATTGCCTTTCTTGCGTTCGTTCTCGTAATGGCGCTCGTGAGTTGCTGCTTTGTTCGTTGGTTGTGTTTGAAACGCAGCTGGAAATGGTTGGCAAAGGTGTGATTCGAGGAATATCGACTCCAACCATCCGACCACGAGGGCCGAAAATTCCTTTCTTATTTATAACTGGAGTCGGCAAGGATCCTCTCGTTCTGATGATGGAGTATGACTGGGTAGACCGGCAGTCTTGGCTATCCCGGTGAGGCACTGTTCCAACGTGGTTGGCTGACGACAGCGTTGGCTATCTGAGTTAAGGAGCGCCTCATGCAGCCCTCGTCGAAAATGACTTGCAGGATCGGACCAAAGGTTGCAGGACGATGACCGCCCAACGCAAAGCGGTTACGAATCGTATGATAATACAAGAGTGAAGCTGGTCAGAGCGAGCAAAATGACATACACCGCAACTTGAATTGGTTTTGGGCACTTTCATGTTTTACTCCCTTAGTAGCCTCGAGTTCATATGTTTACTGACCTTGTTGTACCCAAGGGGCCTAGCCAAACTTTCACACCATGGGAATGTGTCCTCGAATCATGTTCGCGCTATGGTATGGCAGTACGGAGTACGCCATGTCCAAACCCGGCGACCTCCACTGCGTGTCATCAAGTTCACAGGCTGGCAACGATACAGTGCCGTCCTTAATATACTTACCGTGATGCACATTTCTCCTACATGGATCGAAGATCTGAGTATGCAAGTTATCAGACGTGCGTATCTACAATCCCACGGGGAAAGTGTCCGGAGTATCCGCCACGCCTTCCAAGGCTAAGTCGACATGGTACGAATACAGCCAACCTGGCCCGACGGGCCAAGGCCGGGTATAAGCCAGCTTACCCCGTTTTTTCACAGCCTGACCACTTATCATTAGGGACTTTGTGAGCGTCGTGGTTGAGTGCGGTAAGGAGTTGAATTGGTTGTTGGCGGTTGAGGCTGCTGGTCGATACAAAGGGCAAGATTCCAGTGGAACGAGTGGATTCCATTACAGTTGAAAACGGCCTACCGCGCAAAGCATGAAATTGCTTGTGAGTCAAACTAGGATCGAAACTGTAGCTTGAGTGGCAACTATGAGACATTGAGAGATCCTGTCGGCATGGCTAGTCGAGGTCTGCTAGGGAGACCGCGAGACGAGGTCCGGATCAAGAGATCCGCTCAAGCAGACTCAGTATCACTCATAGTCACATATCTGGGGGAACAACGTTTACGCGACTACTTCCGTACGAATACAGCATCAGACTACGGTAAGACTAAGGTAGGCTTCACTAGCAACCGGGGTTTGAGGTGAGACTATCGAAAAGATTCGGCCAGTCGCGGGATTTGTCCCGCGTTTGAATGAATAGAGTGGGAAAGAAGGATCGTATGAGGGCATGGGAAAGACCCAGGGGTGGCAGACTAGTGAGTGAACCCAGTCGCCGACACGGGGAATGCCGTTGTTGAGTTAAGCCCATGCCAGAGTCGGCAGCCTTTGACATTGAGAGTTAGGTTTTGAAGACGTCAACGCCGACTCCTTCTGCAGTTGCCATTCCTGGGCATTTTCCCCAAAAAGAAAGCAGATCGTCACTGCTGCGTTCCCGTTCGGGCGCTTATTCCCATGCCCGCTGCGCCGCGAGCCTGCAAGCTTAGGTGGGACATACGAGCTATCCATACGTTGTGACATTGTACGACGTGGCAAGTTGTGGGGGATTCAAGAGACGAGACATATGCCATACATCCGTACCGGTAGCGACGTTGAGCACCCTGGTATGAAGGTGCAGTTTGTACCTCGCCGCCTACGTAACGACGAAGTCGGCAGTGACCCGCTGAGAAGGCCGCTGAGCGTCATTTGATGTTCCATTGAGATAACACTGGGCCGGCTTGGAATAGGAAGCTCGGTGAGAGGTTCGAGTCATTGCTGTAGGTATGCCTTGTACCAAACAACAGCTGTCGGTGGGATAAGGGGGGCCTGGCTCGAGATTGGGATTGACGAAAGGAACACAGGGGCGCGAGGCGTTCGGACGAGGCCAGATCCGCGAGACGCGGTTCCTCTGAAAACGGCAAGCCACACCCGTTGGAATGGAAGGAAAATCAATCCCAGGGCTTTGCACCGGTTCGAGTTCTTTATCCCGCCAGGGCGGTGGTTTCGGCGCGGCCCGTTAGCTCAAGTTTGGGGAGGGGGAAACGACGTGATCGACTGTCTTTGTTATTCTGGATCAGAAATGTCACGATCGAGAAACTAGTCGAAACCTTAAACAGCGGCCGACGTTTTGACTCAAACGCTCCGTCATGACATTTATGTTTCTATTTGGATAGTTGAGTAAAGGGCGGGCGCCACTTTGCGATACCGAGTTCGCTTCGATATGGGGACTTGGGCGTCCAAGCTCGAAGACATACGGGATTCCGCCTTTGGCCCCCCTTGGAAAGTGGACAAATGCCTGTTGCTTATCTCGCGTGCCAAGGCGAAATGAATGTCTGAATTGAAGTATAAACTTACAAGGGGTGCAGAAGAGCCGAGACGGCGACGCAGAGGTTGACGGATCGGGAAGACCTGGTCGAAGCCCCTATTGTGAATATGAGATGTGAGCTTCACGTAGGCCCGGGGGAGATCTCGAAGGGTCTTCGGTGTACTCGCCTGCCCACGAAGATGGGACACGTTTTCTTGGTCTCACTTCGTGCTCACCGTCAGACTGCGTCCTGCAGGCCAGAGACATCAGATCAGGTTGGTGGGCGGGCGCCGACGTGACATCTTTGGCTTCGTAGCGCGGCTTCTGTAGTCTGGCCCCGGAGATCATGGTCATTGCTTCGGCCGTAAGGTCCCTGGAGAAGCTCTAGAGTGTTGTAGTAGCGTTAAAGAGTGGTTGAGGGTTAGACCAAAACCATCTTGACCGAGGGGGAGAGGAACAAGGCCCAAGAAAGCTCTGTAGGGGTCGCTCAGCTGCCACGTTCAGGTCGCCACGAACCGCGGCATTTGCTCTTGACGTAGGTTTCATCGGATAGCTGTTTACGGATATGTCTTCGTAGAAGGATTCCTACATATAATGTGCCTCCTCCGTCACCATTCGCGGCAAAGATCTCTGTCGCCTAGGTTCGCTCGCCAAGGCGCGTGGTTCAGCAATGGTGCAGGGCGTTTGCCATACTCGAGTCCCTTTGCCGAAACATGTCTCTTTTCTTGGATAATTGCTTCCATACGGTTATTTGTCTCTGTTAGAATCGGCCTTCACTGAGTCGTCGGGATGGATGTGGAGGGTGGCACTGGCACCAAGGAACGCGGCTATATTGGTCTGCATTCCCCGCGAAGGATGCCAATCACGCCGCAAGTTCAATCCAACGCATCGGGCAGAGCGACAATAATAGCGTAGTACGACGAAAAACCTGTTACCCTCCTTGGGGTACCAAGAAAGGAAGCAGTCGCGATGCTCGTCCCTCGTGGCATCTCAGGACGGGCGCTGGAGGCATACCCCTGAAGTGCTCTGCTGTGTGCCTGGGTTCCGCCACCACCCGTGGCGGCCAAGATGACGGGTTCGAACTGAACCATCCAATACCCAGGAGAAGCAATAGCGGTTTCTTCTGCATAGACATCATTAGAACTGGACGTGTGCGTTGCTACCGCTGTATTGCCGCCTGTCATACTCGTAGCATTTGCCGGCATGGTGAGCCTATTCACTGCGTACTTCCCATCGCTGGGCGTGCCCTGTGATTACCCTTGACTGGAGGCGAGAAGAGTTGGAAATGCCATACCCGGCCTGTTCCAGGACTTTCAAGTCTTTTAGGCACGAATCTTGTCAGTAAAGCCAAATGAGAAGGAAACAGTGAAGGATCTTCCTCAGGGGCCACTTCTCCGCTAAATGGGTCTGCTGAGCGACAGCAAGGATCTTGTTCCATCCCGAAGCTCTGTTCTCTTCGCACCAATGCCGAGACTGTGTCTCTCGAGCATGTTCTGGGTGTGTTGCACAGGGTTCCGAGTCCCTGGGTAAGGCCTGTGGGTTGTTTGGCTTCGTTTGTTTCGCCTCAAAGACGGGAGGGAAGAAGACTTTGAGCTATGAAAGTTGACTTCATGGGCACCTTAGTTTACACTTGTTTCTTGTCGTTATGGAAGTCAGCCAACACTGTAATTACATGGGCAGCTAGAAATTACGTAGTACACCTCCTTCTATCCGCACAACCCGGGATTTTACAACCCCGCTACTCCTTCGGCCTTATATATCCGCAGCACATATTAGCGAGATCATGTCGAGTATTAGCATTGCCGAATGTACATTTCGTGATACTGAACGTTTTGTATGTGGAAATGTTCCGATGACCGCTCATCCAGTGGCCGGAAAGGCAGCTGCTTCTCTTGACTCCTAGCATCCCGCCTCGGTTCAAACACTCTCGAACCACGCGTCGTTCTCGCTCAGCCACTTTTACAACATGGTTCCCATGCTTCATCCGCAGCCAGAGGAGGTATCTCATATCATACACGGGTACAGAGCTTTCACCAGGTCATACATGGGTTTCTGCTCAAATCAGGCCTGCCCGACTTTCCACTAGCCCCTTTAAAGACCTCCCCCAACTGAGTTCGACACTTATCGAATGACTAGCCAGGCACATCTTTAGCTTTCCCATACCCTGAAACAGCTCCCCTACAACTAAGCAAATCACTTCGTCCACGCCCCGAAACGGCTCTTTTACGTTCTCTCTGTTATTTTCAACCCAAATTCTCAGGATCTTACACCAGACTCTCAGGACTCTGAAGCAGGTTCTTCGCTTCCCAAACCAGAGCCTCACATCGTTGAAGTAGATTCTCAAACTCTTGAACCAGATGACTATGATTCAAACTTTCAATAGGACCGCATCGCTACATACTAAGGCTGCCGACAATATCACCCAGCGCAGCCATGACCTATGACATGGTGATACAGCAGTAGAAAAAGCGATACCTTCAACGTGGGAACTGGGGACACGGAGACACCAAGCCTCTGACGGGGCAATTGCAAACTCGAAGGATTGAGGCTGCGCCAGTCAGGCAGCCACTTTCTGATGTACGTAGACGACTAGGTCTGATCTCAGGGTAAGCATCGACATTCAGGGAAAGGGCATTTCCAATTCCCATTCACACCTATGAAGGTCATCAAAGCACTCCTCCGACCACTAGCTGCCCGTCAACCGCCAGCATAGGTCGATCGCCCATGGGTCCCAGGCTTCAAGTGCCGGGAAGAGCGTGCTGACGGCCACGCAAGGCCTGTATTGGGCAAATATCAACTTAGTAGTCAAGGCGAATGGAGAATGAGCTATGGAAGTTTAATTCCAGGCTATGGGAATCGGCTTCACCATGAAGATGCAAGATAATACCATCTACTCACAAGAGAAGTTCAAGTTTTGTCGACGCTTAGAACTTAGTCGATCCCTACGGGCGATTGCATCGCGGGACTATAAACAACTTCCAGAGTTGAGACAAATAAACTCAAGGTAGTGAGGGTCTACTTGACGTCGTCAGGGTTCAAAGATATTCTTCTTCCCCTGAAACGAACTCTGGCCCGGGATATCGGTCACCTGGCCTCGGGCCGGGGAAGCCTCGTGAGCCCGCCAGAAACGGCTACAAGCACCCCGCAGGAAGAAACCCCGATTCTATTACACGTGCTCACATAATGACTATATTTCTGGAACCACCATGGGTTTCTCTGGGATATTGAACCCCGGTATTCCGTAGTTCCTTTGTTTGAGATACGAAGTTCCTCTGACTCTCATCACGGAACATACCTCTCAAGCCCCCTGCGGCATCCTTGAAGAAACCATCATCACTCCAAATGGATAGGCACCAGACCACAACTTTCCTCAAAACCCGTCGTCGAAAAGACCGTTGTAAACCAAACGGCCAAAAAGACGCCACACCGTTGGCGCTTACGGCCGTAGACTCCCTGTCCGTGAGGTGGGCGCGCAAAGTTTAAAGCGCAAGTGCGACGACGCCGTCCAAGTCTCGAGACGACGCTAGACTCTGGTCTGATGGCAGCATATTGGTCACTGAACGAAAGAGAGGGGAAAAAAAGGCTGCTAAAATTCAACACTTGTGATCACTTAGCTCGGCTTAAGATGCTCTTAGGCTCGTCCTGGTCCCAAGCTAGCAAACGGAGAATTATTTGTTATTTTCGTTAGCTGGGACTTATCCGTACGGGAATCTCCGCAAGATCGGACAGGTTGTCATGGCGCACGCGCTTGTGAGGCTTTCCTTGTCGCTTTCTTTTCCAGAGTCGGCGACTCTTGCGCCCCCCTTCCCGAGTCTCTAGGTATGCAGCCTCGGACCGGCGATAATGGAAGTAAGTCACGATCATTCAATAGGACTTATGCACAATGAAACCTGGTATCATATTCGATCATTAATCAGACAGTACATGCGTCAACCCACAAACCTCCCCCGTTAATACCCCTTTTCCCAAATTTTGACCACTAACCACATGCTTCTCAAAGCCCGGCTAGCACACTCTGGATGCCAACACTATTGGCATCATCGCGCCGCTGCACAAAGGCCTTGAAGTCGGCCTTGGTCAGTTTCTTGCCCTGGCCCGAGGGGCCTGCCGCAAGCGTGCGAGACTTTTCCCTCAGCGCCTCGGGTCCGACAATGAAGAGGGATCCAATATCGGTGAGGAGCTCGGCCGAGGTCTCTACGTCCGGCGCGAGTGACCACTCCTTGAGGGTGGATGAGTACTTGGACAGATCCTGAGCGACCATAAGTCCGCCGGTCGCGTTGACCTGGAACTTTTTGAAGTGGTCAAAGAGCAGAGCCAGGACAGCCAGCGCAACCTCGGAGCTCCAGACCTCCAAGTTCTGGCCGTCCACGGCTTGGGCGGCGTGCTTGGAGACGCGGGAGAGGAACTGGCTCATTTGCAAGCACGTAGGCGTCTGAAGGGAGTCCAGGTCGGCGTCGCGAGGACGGAAGTCAAACTTCTTCTGACTAGAGAGAGAACGCGTGACCCAGTTGGTGACAACGTCGATGGAGCTGCGCATAATGGCGTTGGTCTTGCGCTCAATGCCGTCAATGGCAGACTTCGTCTGCGTGGACATGCTCCGGCGGACTGTAGTGTTGGATTCGGCCAACTTGATAAGCACAGTGGTAATGAAGCGTTCCATGATGCTGGTAATGGTCACCGCGGGCCGGATCGAAGGGAGGTAACTCAAGTCAGGCTCCGACTTGATATTCTCCTGAGAAGTCGCCTGGTCGAGGGCGGCGTCCAGGGCCGTCTCCACATAGACGCGGCCCATTGTTGTGAGTAAAAGGTTGAGGAGAACGTTGACGTCCTTTGGCGTATCGGTGGGGGAGCCGAGTTCGAGGGTTCGCCGGACGGACTCCGCGAGCCACTTCATCATTCTCTTGGCGTTGGCGATGCTCAACATACCATCTTCTTCTGACACCTCCACGTCGTTCTTGTTATCGTTGTTATCTTGTACTCCTGCAACACGAAGCATCATAGCCTTTTGGGTGGCTGTCAACTCAGAGGAGTCGAGACGCTCGAGGTATGCATCCTTGGCCGATGACAGCATCTGTGAACTTTGTTGTGCGAGTGAGGCCATGAAGCCGGTAGGTGCCTTCTTCCTCTTAGAGTGGTATGTTGTGAACTTGAAGAGCAACGAGTTATACGTTTCTTCGAGACTCTTTCTCTCTCGGTCGATGTACGAGTTGCCAACAAGGTAGGGGACGAAGAGTTCCTCCATTTGCTGGTCCAGTGTCTGGGAGATCTGGGGAGAAGCCGGTTCCGGATGTTCGGTAAGGCCGTGGGATTTGAGGTCTTCGATCAAGGAACTGATGTATGTCCTTGACGAATGTAGCGATCTAAGAAACGCCAGAGAAGAAATTTCGTTGGCCTTGTCGAGTACCATCTCGAGCCTCTGTTGGACGGACTGCTGAAATACTCGCTGAATGAATTTGATCAGAACGGTTTCGTAAAAGGGGAAAGCGCGCTTGATGATGAAGGACTCCTCCTGCATGACAAGTTTGACCTCGTCAACAAGAGATTGCAGGCTGGCTTCGACACCAGGTGGTTCGGAGTCAGGGTCTGCAATCTGGTCCCATGTGTCACCGTCCAGCATGACCTCATCGGAAATCAATTGATCCCTGTCGATGAAGAACTGGTGCTGGTTGACAAAGGTGGCAATGACACTGGAGCCACCGTTGAAGTCGTATAGCACCTTAGAGCACTCCATCATGTCGTCAAAGTTTTGGCGTCTGTAGCTGCTGTTGAACTGCTTGAGGAGCTCTTGTTCCAAGGATTCAGAGAACTTCTCGAGCAGTTCTCTCGTGTTGTGCACGCGATTCGTCCCTGTGACGCCGTTCGTGACACCGTTTCCTCGGAATCCGTTCGTTCCATTCGTCTGACCCCACGAAGTCGGGTCTAGCCGCTGACTGATGCGCATGAGCTGACGGGAAATGACTGCGCATCGGACCTTGTTCTCTGCTCCTCCCTGCCTCTGGATCTCCTCAAGCGACGTGAGCTGGCCCGTCTCACTGACCTCGATCCAGCACTGGATGAGGAAGTTGGCATCCTGGGCTCGCCTCCGTTTTCTGTCCAGCTCCTCCAGCTTCTCACCAATTTGCACGGCAATATTACCACCTGCTTCTTGCCTCGCATTTCTGTCGCCATTCGTCGCGGATTGGTTTAATGATAAATCGAGTGCCTCGAAGGAGGTCATGGACTGGTCGAGCTTTCGGCCGAGGGTATCGAGTGTTTGGTCATGCTGGGCTTCGGCCCTTCGTACGTTGGATTGGAGTTCCGATTCCTTCTCCTGGAGTTCTTCGGACAACGACCCAAGCTGCGACAGCGCATCTGTAGAGGGGGTTAGTAAGGAAGGCACGAGACGCTGAAGAGGACGAAGCTGCCATACTCTCAAACGTGCGAATGAGTGGCTTGGGGTCAAAGGCGGGTTGCGATGGACCTGATCGACGGTTTGCAGGTACGGCATTCTCGGCAAGAGTATCGACGAATTCGCGGACCACAAAGTCCTGGTTCGAGAAGTCCTCGAGGGTGAAGCTGGGCCCTTGAGGGAACAGGGACTTGGCCCCAGAGGGGGCCCGCTCCATGTCGGCGGTCGGGTAGGAAGCGAGGTTATTTGTGCAGATTTGATGGACGGCAATCTGCTACATGGCTCTGAAGTCTTGGTATCGTGTAATCGGAATGTCGTCAGCAGCCTGTCGCCCAATATGTGGTATCGTGATCGAGGTTATGTTTCGGGAGCACGGGTATCCGCGTTGCTCCCAGCGAGTGACGAACTGTCTGTCCCTTGCTTGAGCTTGGACCACTGGAAGTCACTGCCCCGCCTTTGTCGGTCTGTGTGTACTTGATCTAGATCGTGTCACGTGATGAGACTCACCACCAATAATGGTGATAATCAAGGGTCCCTTTCTTTAGATATTCTGACGAGCAATTCAACGAGACTGCTCTAGCTAGTTTCTCCCGCTGGATGACCAGGCACTTCTACGGATGTATCCCGAGACAGAGAAAACATGCCTAATACGAACAACAACCCTCGATATCCTGCGAAGCTGATGCCCTCTACTTTTCACGAAGGACCTAAATCAATAGCAAGCTGGTAAACATCTGGGTTGCCTGCTTCGACCTTCGCGACTCTGGTTGGTGAATTTGATCTACTCATTCAGAGTCTCACAGTATCTCGTATCGCCCAACAAAGTCGAAAGCCACTGTTTACTGACTGTTGCCCGACATCTGTATCCATGCTCGCCGACTACAGATGCCATGATGTGAGATCCTCTGCTAAATTGAAATGCCCATCATCCCTGAAAAACTCGCTTTCATTCTCGAGAGACTCGGAGGCACCTGCCCGCAACGTTGCGTTCTACTTTCCTGCCAAGAAAGCGACGGGCAGACATAGGCAGCAGGTGGGGCCATGTCTAATAGTTCACCCTTAGTCTCATCGCATAGACCGTATAAGTCTTCAGCGAAGTCTTCATATTCTCCTGAATATTGACAGAAATCTTTAAGTCTTTCTTCCGTTTTTATTTGATCCCCGCAATTTGAGCCTTGTTCTCCAGCCGCCATGGCGACAAACCACCAAGAAGCCGAGGAAACAGACCGTCTCACTCTTCTGCCAGCAGAGCTCCTCATAGATATCATCGAGCATGTAGACGTCGCTTCCCACCTGAACTTTGCCTGCACTTGCAAAAAGATTGCCAAGTGTTCAGCAGGCATTCTCCACCGTCACAGAAAAGCCCATGATCAGTATGGCGTCATCTCGGACCTCCAGCCGGCCACTATACCCACGTTGTTGCGCAATATTGTCACGCACAGGGACCCGTTGATCACATGGCACATACGCTCACTAGAGATATGGGGTCGCCGAAGATTTTGGGAAGACTGGCGGCCGTTCATGCTCCAGCCGCGAGAACGTTTTGACGAAGATGCGCTGCCGTTGGAGTGGTCATTTGAAGACGAGGAACGGGCGGAATACATGCGTCTGTTCGAGGACATGTTTCATCCGGACCACTACGATACATGTATAGCCAAACAGCAACTCGATGAAGGCAACGATTGCATGCTCAAGGTTCTACTCACGGCTCTATGCCCTCGTCTAAACAGTGTGAAATACGTTTTGTGCGACGCGGGCAACAGGTGAGTTTGAACCTACGATCTGTACGAATAAGTTATACTCTAACACACCTGGTTCAGAGACGAAAGCCTCGAATGGCTCGCTTCGCTCATCGAAATGAGTAATTCTCTCAAATCCTGGGCACCAGGGTTACGCGCTCTTCGTGAGGTCTCCATCGGAGTGCGCTCCGGAACTTGGCTAGACTGTGGATACGGAGTTCACCATCCACCCGATCTCCTCGCAACTATCCTCAAGCTCCCCAGCATCGATACCGTCTACATCCACGGCCTATACGATCATGATCGCGCCGAAGACTCGGCCCGCGGACTCTCACGTGGCTGCTCAAGCGCACAGCACCTCTTCATCGACGGGGCAGAATTTCTGGGCGAAGAGTTCTGCGTGGCACTCCTCAACGCCCCTCGCTCCCTTAAGTCCCTCCACCTCCGCGGCAACGTCAGGCGCAACCAGGGTGACTGGGACGAGATCGAAGAGTTCCTGCTCAGTGCCCGCAACGCCCAAGCCGACTCTCTTGAAAGCCTCATGGTTTACGAGGCGTGGGGGATGCGAACTGCTCGTGAAACCGGTTGTACGCTGTATCGACTCCATCTGCTCGAACTCAACACCTTCCCACACCTCCGGCATGTCTGGCTCGACAACGCCGACCTTATCAAGCAGGCGGTCGACTACGATATGTACACGACGCCGGAGCTATGGGAAACTCCCGCCGAAGCAGCGCTAGAGTGGATTATCTCCCGCCTCCCCGCGTCGATGGAGGTTCTCTTCTTAGGTAACTCGACAGAGAAGAGCGATCCGAAGATGACGGAGAACCTCCTCGTCGGCTTCCTCAAGTCGGACAAGTTCCCGAGGCTGAAGGCCATCTTTATTGAGGATGATGTTGTCCGACGAGAACGATGCCAGCGGGCGCGGTGCTCCAAGCATAAGCCGCCCAACAACCTCTACTTCCAGCGCCTCATAGCTTTAGGTGAGAAGCGCGGGATCGATGTTAATTGTACAGCCAGCGGGACCAGGAAGAAAATACACAACGACACAGACATCGGGTTCCCTGCCGTCCCAGGGGACAGGGCCGCGCTGAAGTCTTTGCCCTTAGACTCCCCAGTCGATGACTCTGGTGGCGGCATTGGATTCAGCGCGCGAGAGTTCAATGCGTTTGATGGTCAGTGGCAGCTCAAGGGATGCGGTAACTGTGGTGACTGCGAAAAGTGCTTCCAGATGTACCCTGAAGAGAGCTGGAAGACGAAAGAGGAATGCATCGAGACATGATTGACAGATTGGGTTACCTGTCCAAACCTCTAGTCTCTTAGATAGACATGATCGGTTCTATATAGGTGGCCTAATCATTTACTATCTATTCCCGAGTACGTGATCATGGCACTCGTTCTGTAGCTTTACCAGCCTAAAATCACGCCGCCTCGCTACCTCCCAGTAGTAGGTATATAAAGCCGGCCTACCGTCGCTAAATCAAGTTGTACCTTGACGCAGCCTGAAGTTCCGTTTCTTCAGCACGGTCATCAATCTCATTCATGACATTAGTAGAGATAGGGAGTTTTCACTGAGTCACATCATGTCCCTTACAAACGTCAACATGGTCTACGTCTCGCCCCGAGCTACTAGGCTTGGGTGTCATCTTTGTATTCCGGTTAGAATAAGCAGTCTGAAGATCACCGCAGTATGGAACGTAGAGGGCACTAATATTAACAATTGCCGACGCCAGGAGCGGCCAATTCGGCACCTGATTGCGGTTTATATTGACCGAGGACCTGAGACTGTCTGAGGCCAAATTCAATCTCACTTTCAAGTGGAAATGGGATGAATTGAGCTCTTCCGATAGCTTCTTGTCGAATGATCACGGTAGACAAATGTATGAATATGTAAATCGATTTTCATCCTTTGTTAAGCAAAGGCCGAGGGAATCACGGGTCAATCTTTCTGTATGCCTAAAGCATTTACATTGACGAGTCTGCTTGCTTCGAGCACTTCCCTACGGCTGTGAACTTCCTCAGATATGAGATGTCAAACTACAGAGGCCCCCGAGAGACCGTGTCCATCAGAGTAGATGTGACATTGTACAACTTGTGCTCGAGCACAGACAGAAAACGTCATCTATTCCGTCCAAGGCTTTGTACAAGTGATGATCAAGATACTCTTCTTTAGTCAGATTTGTGTATGAGGCTCTGTATGGTTGATATCCATCGAGGACGAACTAGTCCCTGATATTCTTTATAACCACTCTTGCAGTACTCCTCGCAGTGCAGAAACCAAGGGCCGTGGCAACTCTAATGACATACTACCAAGACTTATCTCGGAAACCCAAAAAGCCGTTTGACTCAGGCCATACTAGATCCTGTTGGAAGAGTACCCCTGGTTTGCCACCACTCGCCCGAGAGGCGACGAGCTTTGGTGCGAGTCACGTTCGACGACGTACACCGTATTTCGAAGAGAACATCTCAGTCATTTCTCCATGATAGAGGCTAGGGTTCTCGCCTATTCATTCCCCCCCACAGACATGAACCACAGGGCTACTTCATATACTGGGTAACAGGAAGCCTGTATTCATGCCGCCGGTGTTCAACACCGACCCCGCTACGTGGCCAGCCCCCCTGTAACACTCACGGACTGCCTCTAGGGAAGAGGTGTTTCAAGGAAGCCTTGGTTGAGCTTCAGGGTAGCATTGGTATGGATTAGATCGTGGTAAAGAAAGTATACGACTTTTGCAGTTGGCGTCACTGAATGTTCCATTAACCTAAGATACAGCCCTCGTTGGGTGCGCCTCACCCGCCCACCCTAAGAGGTGAGTCTATGAGACTCTAGCAACAATTCACCTGGTTGCAAAAGTCATGAAGCGGATTACGCTGGGGTCAAGGCATGTCACGTCATGCTTAAGCCTCTCTAAGTTTCGCAACCCCGTGGGCCGTTTGTAGTGCTAAGCTGCGGAACGTAAACCTCGCCAACCTCGCCAAGCTTGATACCCACTTGGATAGGATCTCTAACGTTGGCTTCCCGTGTGGCCTGAGCCGCAAGCGGGCTGGAGTCTATGGGGATTAACTGACGCGGCTGGCTATCAATCGCCATCAGCCGAGTCGGGTATATCTCCAGACCGTGTAAGACAAGTCTCGGTGCCGAAAAGCTTCAACGGAGGGGCGGCATCCCCATCGGAGCAAGCACGGCCTCGACCGGACGGACCTCTCGACCGCAGCAGATGATTGCGCAAGTTTTCCTCGACGGCATGCCAATGCAACGTACTCCGAACAATCTCAGAAAGTGACTCAGCGAGACGATGAAAAGAAAAATCTGTCGAGGTCCATTGTAAACATGGCGAGAGCCAGACCGTGCGGAGCGGCTCAGCCCTGCGAAGACGACGCAACCGGAGTCGTCAGCGCGGCCGGTTGTTATGGTAGCATTCTGCCTCTTTCTCGCAGGACCCGAGCTCCGACGGCGGGGACGAGTCGCGCCGGAGTGTGGGGATGGCACTGCAATGTTGATCCAAGATTGGAAAGGTTCCGGGTTCCACGGCCAGCATTACAACGCGGTCCCTGAGAAGACAAGAGCCCCCCTTTTGAGATTGAAAAATGAAAAGGGTCACCCCTTGTTCCCATCCACTTTTGCGGAGTGAGATGAGGATCCAGAAATGCGGCGCCGCATTGAAAGATTTGGATATGAAGTGATCGGATGTCAAGTCAGATTTGGGGGCTCATGCCCGGAGCCTCATCAAATGCGGCCAACACGCCATGCCGCATTGTGGTACTTTTTTGAGGCACGACTCGTTGGCTTCCCTAGTATGAGCACCAGACGTCAGCTGCTGGCAGGATTCGTTCTAAATACGTAGGTAGGACGAGATGACAGGCAGCAGAGTTGGCCGGCGCCGCGGGGAGCATCATTAGGGAGCGAAAATGGGCCCAGAATATCCGTACTGTAGGACAAAAGGGGTGGCTCGGAAATCCCAAGAATGCCGGGATCGGCGCTAGAAGAAGTCACAAAGATGTGTTTTCTAGATCGACATAAAAAAATGCGTGGACCGGCAGACTAGGCTGGTAGACTGGTGAGATATGCGTTGTCCTGTCTCGGCCTCTCGGAAGGGCCCAGCTAGCCGTGTGGCCGTCAGCTGGTGAGAGCACGTTGTCAAATGGCGAGATCTGAACGGGCCGGTTGGAGATGGCGAACTTTGCTCCTTCTCTTTGCTTCCCTTTCTTGAATTCCAAGGAGGGTGCAAAGGTGGCTGTGCTAGGTCCGGCTGCGAGGGACGAGGCGGGCAAGCGCGGCGGGCAGGTGGGAGGATGAACCGAAAGCGGGTGGATTTGCCGTGACCTCGGGCTGGAGTGGACCACTGGGTTGGAATGGGTGTGGATGAGATGATGCGTGGGACGGGGCGCAACTGGGGAAGGGAGGCGCCGCAAAGCTATTTTTACCCAAAGCTTCTTGTGATTGTTTCTTTAGGGTGTGGTCGTTGGTTGTTGGTCGTTGAATGCGGTGGGACGAGGCCTTCTTTGTGCACTTTGTACGTGTATCTGTAGGGTGCTATCGTTCGCCTTCCCTTCCTGGGCCGCCCTGCTGGGAAGACCAAAACCTTGTGTCCGGATCGAGTAAGAAGACTCGGGGGATTTGCACTGTTGCACACGAGGTCTGACAGGACGCCGCGTATACGGTTTTTCTCATTGTTAGGCCACCCGCTGGCCTCGATAGCTTTCGTGTTCGATGGCTTGGGCAGGGGATCGGTGACGAGTGAAAGCCGCCCGTCAAATTGACTGGGCTCGGCCTGTTCGGTCCACGCTGCTATTGTTGTTGTGATTGTTACTGTCGTAGCTGTCAGTCAAGCACGTTAAGGCAGGTTGGCTGGGTGCACCAGCGACAAAGTTGCCCTGGGCGCTAGCGAATGACGAACGAGGAAAAACGAAGCAGGATGATGCGTGAGGAAAAGGAGGGAGGGGGCAAAGTGCACGTTGCTGCAGGAACTGAGCCGCAAACAAATGCGATGATCGAGAGGGAAAAATAATCATGATACTAAGAGAGATGAGATCCCAGGTCAGCAGGATCAGACGGAATAGCAAGATCGGCACCACGTCGTCCAATGGCTGGTGTCAAAGTACGTAAAGGTTGTTCTGTAGCAGCGTGATACATCAAGAAGAAAGCCTCAAATCTCATGTGAGAAACCGGACGATGAAGGATGCTGAACAAAGCTGCCTTCAGCGGAGCGCATGGTATTGTTCAATCCCCATCACGTCACCAGGTGTGCAGCTGCCGACATTGGATGATGGAGGGAAGGCAGGTTTCGGATGGCGAACATGTTTCTTCCTACCTTAGAATCTCATCTCAGTGCTGGGAAAGGAAGGACGGAAAATAGAAACGGGACGAAAGTCAATTGTACCGAAGGTACCGTTGATGAGACGGAAGGAGCCATCGAGGTCAGACGTGGCAGGACCCGGGCAGAGCTCTGCCTTCCCGCTCAAAATGTGTGTCAGGCTTAGAAGAGAAGGCGCCAGATGCAAAGTGGCAGTACCAACTTCCAAACGACTCATCTAGCTGTTTTTCAATTTCCCAAATCACCACTTCAATTATCCTCAGACATGGATTAAATGGCCATGGTCAATTCGACCTCAGCTGGGAAGAGACAACCCCGCGGCACGCCTTGCTGCCAGCTCGCCTGTCCTGCCCTGCCCTGCCAACCAGGCCGTCTGACGGCCCTCAGTCAACGGATAGACAATTAGCTCGCTGTGGTGAGATCTGGAGTACATGATGTTCCAGAGGGAGAAGAAATATCTGTCTGATCCTCGGCCTAGCAGACTCGACTAGCACGTCTTCTCGGTTTTACAGCGCCTTACCCTCCAATCAAGCGAAGCACGAGCTTGGTTGAGTTGTTTCTTGATCCTCCCATCCCCCTGAATCTTTCGAACATGGCATACGGCTAATGGTGATCCAGGTATCCATATGAAAGCTTGCAGACGCCAATGAGCCATTTGCTTGGGTCCAATAAGCCAAGAGAGCCGCTGTCCGGGGGTCATCCGAGCCCAGTGGCATTAACATTGGGAATTGAGGGGAAAGTTTCAAGTACATGCCCCGTCACCAGCAGCAACTAACAATAAGCAAAGTTGTGGAAGTAAGGCTAGGCTTAGGGACAACAAGAATACTGACAACCAGCGTTTGCCGTCCTACCTATTCCCCGAGAGTTTGGTATACGGATACATTGAAGCATGATAATAGCGAAACAAAACCCAGAACAACAGACACACAAAGCACGAGAAAATAGACTCCGTTTCGTACGCCGCAAAGCACGCGTCCATTCAGCAGTCTGAGCATTTCATTGCAACGGTACGCGACGCCTGGGAAAGGGCACTGGCAGGACCCCGTGTTTCCGGTTTCTCGGGGTCGGGTCCAATCGCAGGTCTGGCTGCAACCCCGAGCTGGGCCAGCGTAGCACCGGACCTCGACCTTTTGACCTTGAGGAGTCTGGAATCTGCAAGAACGAAAGAACCCCCGAAGAGTGCGCATCACTGG